AACTATAAACCTGAGCCAGCCCTAACTATAAACCTGAACCAGCCCTAACTATAAGGGTTATCAAAGAGGAAAGTCTTAAGCCTACTCCTAAATGTGGTGAGTGTGTCTGCCCCCCGGACTGAAACGGGAAGCTGGTTCCACAGGAGAGGAGCTTGATAACTGAAGGCTCTGGCTCCCATCCTACTTTTTAAGACTCTAGGAAACACAGGTAACCCTGAATTTAGGGAGCGCAGCTCTCTAGTGGGGTAATATGGTACTATAAACTCTTTAAGATATGATGGTGTCTGACCAATTAGGGCTTTATAGGTGAGGAGAAGATTTTTAAATTATATTCTAGATTTTGGAGCCAGTGCAGAGAAGCTAATACAGGAATAATATGATCTCTTTTCTTAGTTATTGTTAGTACATGAGCTGCAGCATTCTGGATCAACTGGAGAGATTTAAGAGACATATTAGAGCAGCCTGAAAATAGGGAATTGCAGTAATCTAGTCTAGAGGTAACAAATGCATGAACTAATTTCTCTGCATCGCTTTGAGACAGGATGTGCCTAAATTTTGAAATGTTACGTGGGTGAAAGAAGGCAGTCCTTGAAGTTTGTTATATCAGGGAGTTAAAAGACAAATCCTGATCAAAGGTAACTCCGAGATTCTTTACGGTGCTGCTGGATGCCAGAGCAATGACATCTAGAGAAACTATATCACTAGATAACTGATTTCAGAGGTGTTCTGGGCCTAGTAGAATAACTTCAGTTTTGTCTGAGTTTAACATCAGGAAGTTGCAGGTCATCCAGGTTTGTATGTCCTTAAGACATGCTTGAAGTTTAGTGAGCTGGTTGGTTTCATTGATAGATATAATTGAGTATCATCTGCATAACAATTAAAGTGTTTTCTGATAACATTGCCTAAAGGAAGCATATATAAGGTGAACAAGATTGATCCAAGCACAGAACCTTGTGGAGCTCCATGACTAACGTCGGTTTTCATCGAGGTTTCATCGTTTACATATACTTCAGGGAACATTTGTCATGAATCCAGACACTCCGATACAGTAGATGGCGGCATGCACATTTTACGTTGGTTTGCGGTCCGCCGACACCGTTAATTAGCACAACGAAGAAGAATAAAATAAGAAGAAGAAGAAGAAGAAGAAGAAGAAGAACTGATAGAGCGCAACTCTAGCAAATCTGCTGTAGTCACAGGATGGCTGAAGAGCAACAACACAGCGGCTTTGATCCAAAAATGCCGGTAGGTTAGCACCATTGCTAAAGACCTTGTTAGAAGCCATGCAGTTTTAGTCAGTGTGCTTGCTGTATTGTTTAGTTTAGTGGTTTTGTCTCTGTATAGAATGTTCGCTGCAGCTATGCTAACAAGTAAGCTAGCTTTGACAAAGACCAGGTTAAACTTTACAGCATGATAACGTAAAACGTGTGTGACAGGTGTGGACTAACGGGGCTTCTTCCGTTTTAAAGTAGTTCTCACATTGTAAGTAAACGTGTAACGTTCACTTGTTTGTGAACAGATGTACTGCTGTTCGTCAGTTGGCTAACAACCACATATAATGTTGTTTATGTTTTTTTGTGGTTTTGCTGAAAGCTTCCAAGCGGAAGTGACATGCATTTACTATACAGTGTTACCTTAGCACCGTCGTTGGGGAGCTGTTTTCCTTTTAGGTTTCCCCGACACACAGTAGCCTTGAAAGGAAGCATCTGGGAAGTTACGTGAGTGACCACCTAAGGCTTAGAACTTCCACCAAGTAGCTCGTGCTAGCGTGATAACCAAACTCTCGTTGACATGTGCAACTGCTGAAACGTTCGACAGATACGCCTGCTGACGTTACGTGCATTCACGAAGCGTCCAGTGCGTTTGTACTGTATCTTTACTAACTGACGAGGGATCATTAGAAATGTGTAACATAGACTCTCAGCACTGATGCTACCGTTGCTTAGTATGAACACACACACACACACACACACACACACACACATTTTCGTCCGTAAGATGAGCTTCTCAAATCCCTTCGTGTTTAATGTTATTATGACACAAACTGTTTCACAGGAAATCTGCCTAGATATAAAGTACATCAAGTTACTGAGTAGCAGGTAAACAAAGTTCAGTGTCCGGCAACTGACGAGGTGTTCTTTATGTATTCAATGTTTGTGTTGGCATTCATTGATATTCTGTTAGCAAATGAATTTAATGATCCAGGTTATGATGAGTGCCAAACTTATTTAGTGACCTAAATGTTTGAGGGTAAGTAGAAATGATGTATGTAATAAATACATCTCATTTAAAAATGTATAGTTCTACCCAACCCACGTGGATTTTGAGCATCAAATGTTGAGATTCCTTCAACAGATAATTCAAATATGGGGTATGAAATGTATACGATATGGAGTGTGTCTGTCTGATGAAAGATTTCCATGAAGGATGTTCACGCTTATGCCTCTTCCCGGCAGAAAAAAATAGTTGAGACATCTTTAATGATGGCAGACCAGATCAATTTCCAGGTCACCTGAGGAGCGATGACGCATGATAAAATAAGGCCAATGCCAAGCGGCCCCTGTCTCTGTATCCTCTTCCCTCTCTCCCATTAACCTGTCTTCCTCTGTGATGTTGTGTCCAGAATTAAGGTTCATGCTTGGGAAATAGAGCCTCCTGCAGGAGGGAGGAAGAGTGTGTGCGTGTGTGTGTATAAGCCTGGGCAGTGACACACAAGTGATGGGTCCGAGGAAGAAGGCCTCTAAACTCCAGCCTGTAGTGGGCAGCTGTGGAGGGGAGCTGGTCCTGAGACCAAGTGAGCCCAAAGACTACATCAATGAGCTGTCCCATGAAGTCCTCTGTCACATATTCAGGTACATTGCCCTCCACCTCCATGTCATACTTTACATTTGACTCTAGGGCCGTGTGAGGTTCTACAGTATGTATGTGTTTTTATTGTCATTCAACCTGCATGAACATTACCATGAGTAGGATGTCAGCACCATGGGTGAAACAAGTAAGGACATCACAGTTGTAATTTTCCCTTTAGTGGAATATAATTGTCTAATATACCTGAAAAGTCAAGGTACTTCATCACATTGATGCAAAAATCATACAGCTGTCCTGCTTATTGATTTGCAATGCTGCCACAGTAGTCTAATAAACCCAGAGATATTAGAGGGACAGCTACTAAAGCATTAACA